AGACTGATGAGTGATAGAACAATTGTCGTCACGACTGATGGGCGATGAGCAATTGCCGTCTCAGCAGCCTCAATGCTGAAGCGTCGTAGGCCTATGCAACACCTTTGTCCTGCCGGCCACTATAGCGCCGTTTCAAGGAGTGATAGAGAGAGAGCACCGGAGAGAGACGAGAAAAATAGAGTGGAGAATTAGTGAATTAGGGTTGTGAATTAGGGCTTTTATATGTTACCTGATTTTTCAACAGATAAACATTAGACCTGAATTTTAAAAAGCAATATTTAAACCCCTGATTTTTTATAATTTCTCTAACAATTAACTAGAAAACTTATTGTGTTAACGTCTAGAATATGATTTAACAGAAGTAGCAATGACTTTTGCCATGTGAAGAACCTATATGACATGACTTTTACAGTTTTCTCAGGAAGCTACTTTAGCCGTTGTTTAGAAATTAATTTCTAAAAGAACTTCAGATTCTGAAAGTACTTTAGAGAATTAGATTTGACCAATTTTCTCTAAAAAACTTTTCTAATTATAAGAATTTTTCATAAAATGGGCCAAATGGTACAAAAGCAGCTTAATTTTGGATCTCAAAAACTTCTTTTGACTTCACAAAAGTCATGTCAAACAGACTCTAATTATATATAAAATGCTCACTATTTCAAATAGTTAATCCTTGAAATTAGGCTCTTATGATTATTTATTTAAACTTTGTAAAGTAGATGGTGATAGCCGAATTCATTCTTTATTTGCACTTCACAATAATATTATTTAATAAATTGCAAATTTCAGTGGTCTACTTCGTGAATTACACGAGTTATCTTTGAATTCATAGGTCATTAAATTAAAAAAAAAATATATATATATATATATTACATATTTCATTAACTGTTAAAAAAAAAATCATTTTCATCTCGATACATTATGTTCATACTTATTAGACACGAGGTCCAATAAAAAAAATTAGTAGATTGTAGTTAGTGAAAAATGGCTAATACCTTTGGCTTTCTCCTATATTTGTCCATCATGAGTTGGAAATTTGTCCCGTAGGCCTCGGAGTGAAAGTGCGACTTCCAGTGCTAGCAAAAGTCCAGAGATAATGGGCATTATTGAAACGCAATCTATGGACAACAAACTAGTCAAATATCCGTAATAAAATTGCCGTCTGCAGTAAACGACAAGCAGCCTATCAATCCACGTAGAAAAAGGGGGGAGGGGTCAAATCCTCGAAATTGAAAATTATGCCTATCGAAGTTGTATAGATTGTTTGGACGTTAAAAATCAGTAATTTTTAAAGAATAATGTTAATATTGTATGAGTGATGTTGAAGATCAATCTAATATAATAATATCAAAGAATAATATTTTGAGGGAGTTGTGTCACGGTGTTAAAGACCGTAGTTATACTTAGCCCCTTGATCCACTTGCAATCGCAGCTTGCACAACTATGTCGAAGTTTGTAAATTTTAGTTTAAATTTTAATTTCCT